CATACTTCAAGCTAGTAGAGAAGCACTCCGAGGTAGGCCTCAAGATTTAGACCTCAAGATCCGCTAGGAAAGAGGATGCCTTAGTTTTTGGTTTTTAGAGGGAAGGGCCTCTCGACCTACCATCACATTTTACTTACCTTTGGCTTTGACGGGAGCTTGAGCTACAAAGCTTGACTTTTGAATAATGAAGGGATCAATTATTTTAATTTCTCCCTAGAAGGGAACCCTGAGCTGCATAAGCTATTTTGGCCCTTCTTCAGTTATAGTTAGTGAAGGAACTTATGAAATTTAAAGGTTTTACAAAGTTGGGCTTTGTCAGACATATCTACAAGGTGAGATAAGTGTTAGAAAAAATTTACAAAATTAAATACCCTATGAGGTTACCTTAAACCTATGCCAGTATATGGTCTCATTCACTACTTTAGGAGAGGTCAACTTAGATACATCAATAACCAGCTTTCCTTTTTTGGTGAATTCCAAAATTTAGTCTTGAGCATTGAGGTCATTCATTATGAAATGAGTGAGTACATTATCAAAAATCCTAGGTTAATTCAAAATCTCCCACACCTTGAGCTTGCTATTTTTTTTTATTTTTTTTATGAATATAAAGGAAGAGCATTTTTCAATTTTTTATTAAGCTCAGGTAGCCCATGAATATCTTTTTGGCTATATGAGCTATGATATAGACCATCTCTAACTGTATAGGTGTTTCTTAACTAAAAAGAACTCTTAAATAAAGGCAAAGAATGAATAATACCTACGTTTTTACAAAGAATAATAAAAGCTACATTGTATCGAAAAGAATTTAGAATGACTTGAGTGATAAATAAATTGTAAGAAAGTAAAGAATTCAACAATAAAAAGATGTAAAAAAAACTTCAGATTGGCCATTATCGAGTATAATACACCTAGAGTTGGTGTCCTTTTATGATAGTAAAGACATGATCCTTTATAGTCAACATTGATATATTGTACCTCTTCTTTGGAAAGCCAAAGTTGACCCTCAAAGATTGGACATGATGAGTATAGCACATGTTAGGGTATTTTTCAAGATTAACCCTGTCATTTAAGCTCTTAATCACATCTTTAGGGTTTAAACTTAAAAAAAAAAAAAGTTGAATAAGGGGACCTAAACCATGTCCTTTAAATTTGAGGAAAACTCCCTCTTATCTTCCCCATCCTTTTTAACCTAGTTAGTCTTCTCCTTCTACTCTCCATCAGAGCCCTCCTCATCTTCAGAGCCATCATTGTCAAAAGATTCAAACTTTTGAATAGGACCAAGACTTCGAGTAGAAACAATGGTGAGTAACACAATATCAGTGGAAAAAGAAGGGGTAAAAAGACTCCCCAAATGAAAAAGAGAAGTGAGTAACGCTAACTAGAGCTGGCTCAATAAAAGGGATAAAGGAAGAAAGAATAAAAGACTAGACCTCAGAAGGAAAATAGTAGAAGAAAAATAAAGGTCAATCAAAGAAGTTAGGCTATCCTTAGGCACTAGAACTCAAGGGTTTTTAAGCTCAAAGTCGACAGTAGCCACAAGATCATCTATGCTCTGATAGATGCATTCTTTCCTAACACAAGCATTATCTTCTACCTTTTTTTGCTCTTCCTTAATCATTAGGTTTAGCCATAAAACAACCCTAGAATAGTCTATTCCTACAATAACAGAATGGACCCTATCACCTTCGTCTCTACTGCCAAAGCCAACCTCCCCTTGTAACTACTTTGTAACTCTTTGAACCCTTAAAGGTTGCACTAGAAGAAATTATAAAAAAAAAGGAAAAAAATGTATCGAAATAAGAAAAAGGGAAAAAATCTGACGAAGAAAAGTGAGAACTTTAAAGTTGGTAAAAACAAGCCCGTTTAAGAGTAAAAAGATAGCAATATGAATAAATGAAGGCTCTAAGATGCCCTTTATATAGCCAACAGTGAGATCAGATGAACATTTCAAATCATGCCATATGTCCAGACAATTACTGAAGACAACCCTTCACCTTTCAGCTTTGGGTTTTTACTGCCCAAATACCTCTTTCCTTATTAAATGCAATTTTCAAATAACATAAAGGCAAATCAGTCATTCCACCTATTTAAACTGATCGAACCAATCATGAAACCTAGATCAAACCAGCCAAACGAACCAATTGCCAAGTCAACCTTGTACTACACTTACTGATCAAACTCTAACACCAATAAAATGCATAAGTCTTATGTTGGACGTATAAGTCACATCAATAATTATTTATAAGCTTGCTTAGCTTAACTTCAAGCCACTTGAACACAAGGTCACTCACATTGGCAACCCAGAATGGACTAGTCAAGCATATAGCCCAAAGCTCATGCTTGAGACTATGTTTAGTAACTATGACCACACAATAGGTCAGCACACTCAAAGTGGCTAGGACTACACTTAACCTACAATTGATTATAAACTTTTTTTAACCGACTCTTACATTAGCCTTAAGAACATTTAACCTCGTCAAGGTGAGGTCATGCCTAAGGAGTAAATTTTCAAAACCCACACTCAAAAAACTTAGAATGGCTCAATCAAGCACCTTTTAGTCTGATACTTAGACTACTTAGTGAAGGGATAAAATGTTATGGGTATTTTTTTGTCTAAAGGGCAAATTGGTTTTTTCTCTCATTAGAGACCATCAACAAACAGATAGGGATATTTTTTACTTTTGGATTGACTTAACATGTCAGGCCAACCTGACATACACAGGGCCATATCAACTTAGCTACATCACTATTCTACTCTACAGACCCATCACTTTCCACCTATAAATAGAGCCACTCAGGTACTATCTAATCTATCTAATTTTCTCATTTACTATTTCCCTCTCCTTTCAACCTCTTCTAGTCAACTTTGACTTGAGTATCAGAGCAAATGGAGGGAACACTCCCTACCTTTGCTTTTAATCGCTCTTTTTTTTTGTGATTTAAAGGTCCTTACCCTCAGCTCAGAGCTTGGCACAAACAATCTTCTTATTAAGCAAGTATGATTAGTCTACTAGCCTTGATGATCATAAGCTGAAATAAAAAGTTTAGGTGCCTTTTGATTTCAGTATTGTAGTTTGCTCTATAAGGTCCTAAGAGATAATATCTTGCTAAGGCAAGTATAATTGAATAGTGTACAAACTTTTTGGTCAAAAAAGAGGAGTGATAATTTATCTATACTCTAGGGAATATGAAATCCGATAGGAACTTATGGAGAATTGCTTCTTCACTTACTACTATTATTTCTTCAATGCTATGAAGTTGAGGATGGTAAAAGGTTAGTGTTTTTTTTTTAAAGGAAAATAAATAAAGGCAAAAAGGTTAAAGAAAATCTTCAAAAATAATTTAATAATCATCCAAATCTCTATTGTTTTATTGCAATTAATTAAGTTTTCAAATATCTATTTTCATCAATTAAAACCTTATTACATGAAAATTGGTTACTATCAACACTCATTTCTATCCCATTCATAACTGAGGTGAAAATTGATGTTTAAGGATTAAATTGGAGTAAAAATAGATATTTATGAATTCAATTGAGTGAGAATAGATGTTTAAGTATTCAACTGATAAATAAAAATTTTAAATCTTGATTAATTATAACAAAATATTAAGAACTTAAATGATTATTACATTTTTGTTGGGGGGCTATTTTTTTTTTTACCCTTTTACCTAAAATAAAAGAAATGTCAACCTTGTTTTCCCGCCTAGAATAAAAATTGGAAGAAAATTAGCTGCTGAATATGATTGCGTCGGCTAACCACCAAATACAGCAACATGGTTTGATTGCGTTTTTCTTTTAATAGGACTTGATAATCCTTCTTCTTCTCCTGCTCCTGCACATAAAAAAGCAAAAAAGAAAAATAGTGAGAAAGATCACGTCTCAGATTCTTTAATGCGTGATACAATCAACAATTCATTTGTATTCCTATTCCTGGATGTATAAGTACAACTAGGAAACGCGGTTTCTGCAAACTCTCTTGATCTATTTATATTTTAAAATACTACTATGACAATGGCTGGAAAGGAAAACCATTATATAAAAAGTAATATGATGGCTATGCACATCTATCCCAATCAAATAATAAACTTTTTGTTGGACTTTGAATTATTTAATCTCTTTTCCAGAATATCAATAAGGGAGAGGTATCCTTCACGCTTCAAGGAAGGTGCTAAATATTAATTAGGCTGATAATCTCATTTTATTCATTTGATCCGTAGGTTTCAGTGTCACCTTCCTTGATCTATCTAATTCCATAATTCTAAAAGAAATTAATATTATTTTATATAAAATAAAATTTTAGTGCATGTATGTATGCATGATCTCGCAGGTCTGGATACATATATATTATTTTTGCATGCCTCTTCAATCCCCAGCGCCACATTTAAATAATAATATATATATTATTTATATATTATTCATCTACATTAAAATTTACAGGCGGTTAGGATGCTATTAATTCTTAAAAAGAATCGTAGCCCAAAAATACAACACTTGTGTAAATCTGTAATTGATTTGCTTCTTCTTCTTTTTGGGAGTTAAAGACTTACTAAGATTTGATTAATTTACTCATTTATCCATGTTGTTGGGAGTGAGACCATGATGGGTTAGTGGTGACAATGGACAGGTAGGATAGGATCACAGTGTTGTCCGACTCTGACATTACACCTAAACCACAATTATCAACACATGCCACAAACATCAATCCAATTCATGTATCATCCTCACAATTGTATTTTAATTACGCACATTATATATATATATATATGTATAAAATAATTGCCAGTTTTCTTTCTGGATTTTTTAATTAGTATAAAAAGTTGATCAGATTTCAGCCACATTATGTGATTTCCGTTAATAGCAGGGTTTGTATTTGAAGGCTTCAAGTTCAACCGTACATAACCCATACGAGGGGTACTGTTGGTGCAACAAGATAAGCAATTAGAGAGAGCGAGCCTCTCCCCTCACCTTCCCATCACTACTGTATGTATAATTTATTTGTTTATTTGAATTTCTCAACACAAATCAGCCCCTGCATCTTAATTATACTAGTTAAGATGACTGGCATTACCTGAGCATGTTCACGATTAATGGGAGAGTTGTTGCATACGCTGGGAGGCGAAGGCGTACGATCAACTTCAGCTCACATTGATCCAATTATCACTGCAGCTTGCAAGCCACAGTCACAGCATCATCATCGTTCTGCTCCTCCTCCAGTTCATGACTTGATGCTCCGGGCTCTCACTGCTGTGTTTGGCATGGATCAAACCAATTGCAGAATAAACAAGGAGAAAGCACGTCAAGTGGTGGAGATGCTAGGTTTGGTTGATCAGGCCGGTGAGGACATGCAAGACACTAATCACTTTGACCTGCCTGGTGGTGGTGGGTTGGAGGAGGAAATACCCTTGGAGGAGGTGCTAGGAGTAGGAGGATTAATGGAAGATGGGTCGAAGCGGAATGAGCCGCAACGCCAAGACTTCAGAAATTTTGATGAGGATGGCAACGGATTTATGGACGCATTAGAGTTGAAGAGGGTGCTGCAATGCTTGGGTTTGGACAATGGGTGGGATATGGCTCAAATTGAGAACATGTTGAAGGTTGTAGACTTGAATCTGGATGGAAAGGTAGATTTTAGTGAGTTGATAATTATGGCCTAAATTAATTAAATCATATATTATATATGTGTTGAGCAAAGGGGAATCTCGGTTTCAATAACATTTTTGTCATGCTAATAATTATATATTCCTTTTTATATATTTTCATCTGAACAATTAAAAAGTGGGTTAATATTTCTATCCTTTATTAATCCAAGATTTGATTAACTTGATTTTTTAATTATTTGCGTTAACTGCTGATCCAGTTCATAACCTCTTATACGACCATCCAACTATTAACTGATCATTTCTTAATTAAATTCCATGTTACTTCAATCTAATTAATAGTAGTTATTTACATCCACATCCAAAAGAAATATGTGAATCGTGAAAGCCATTTTGTAAGTTTGTGTCTAATTAAAAATGAAAATGTCAGTAAGGGGCTTCGATTTAGGAGTATATTTTAAAATTTTAAATTAATTTTTTTTAATATATAAAAGATATGTGTCATCATCTTAATTTTATTTGTGACGTTAAAAAAATTTTACTGTGTATTAAATAATATTTTTTTGATTTAATTTTATATAAATTTATTCAATTATATATTAATTGTTAATTAGTTAATTTGATTTAATTGAGTGAAATAAATATAAGTGTATTTATAATTTCATAAAAAAAATTAAAATGTTAGCGCAAACATAGAATAGTAAAAAGTAGGGGAGAAATTTCTATAAGAGATAAATAATACTTAGATCTAATCGAACGAAGCAGGGGACAAGGCATACATATCCTTAAGGCCAAATTTCCGAAACACCGCTCACAGCATCACCGCTAATTCCATTATTGAGATTCCCATTGCTGATATCAACATTTGCAAGTTCAAGGGCTGAATTCCCAGAAACAGTCAATCCAGAATATATGGAATCATCTCCGTGGATGTTAGTCGTGGGTGAGACATTTGCTACCCAGCCAATATTGTGAGTGGCAATTGGTTGCGGTGAAGTCAAGTGACTTTGAAGAAGTAGATTCAAACCACAAGTCAAGGAGCCTCGAGCAAGCATATCCTCAGCCAACTTTACCTATATACAGTTACATTATTATGACTTCCGTCTAGCGGGCACATCCTCAGATCAAAACTTTGCTTCTACATGCATTATAATATATAGGCTATAACTATAGCAGAAAGTCCGGTATATATATATATATATATATATTATTTTTTATATAATTAATATAGATAAATTATATCCAAAATCATCCCTTCTTATTAATTTTTGTCAAATTAATTCAACTTTGACCATTATTTTTAATAAAATTATAAAATTAAAATTTTTTAAAAATAATTTTTTCAAATTTTGAGTTTCAAAACTTTTAAAATATATATATTTTAAATTTTAATTTAATATAATATTTAAAAATAAAGGTCAAAGTTAAATTGATTTGACAAAAAATAAATAGAGGACAATTATTTTGGGATGGAGGAAATATGTTCACAAATATAGGGGCGGGTCAAGTGGGCTCAAGCCCATTAGTAAAATCAAAATAAGTTAGATTTATGTTCCTAATAAAATTTCACCTTAATTATATTAGAGGTCTATCCTCGACGAGATTAAGATATATTATATAAATAGCCACATATGACTGTAAAAATTAATAAAAAATATTAATCTCAATTACTCTACTAAACAAGTTCTCTCTTAAACTCTATCTTACCAAAATTTTGGGCATTCTAAAAATTTGTAGTCTAAGAATTTATAGACAGCGCTAGTAGCCATCAATGAACTAGAAACATCAAAGTAATTGTTCAAAGAGAAGAATAAAAACAAGATCCTTGAAGGTCTGTAAAGCAAACATGGACAAACAGATCTTAGGAATTCAGATTAGCATTGAAGTAGTTAATCCTTAAGCTGCTAATATTCCTTCACAGGTATCAAAGTATAATGATACTTGTTCACCTTCAAATTTACTTCTATGATTGTTTGTCATCTTAAAGTTTGAACACATGCTTTTATACCAAAATTTTACATAGATATGTGCCCTAGGATAATCTGAATTTGTGTAAAAGTTTTATATTAAAAGTACTTATTGTTTGTGAGAAAATTATAGTAAAATTAGAAAAAAAAAAACAAAACTTTGACTTGCTCACACATATTTTGATTTTAAGGCGTGAAATTTATATGAATAGAATCCTTGTGTCGTAAGTTTTCTGTGCGAATACCATTAGGATTTTTTTCATTGTATAGTTAATGAAAATTAAGGATTTAAAATTTCGTGGACTAAACTAAAAAATCACAAAAGTTTATTTCATAAAAAGCCACTTTTCCTATTGCGCAAGTGGCACATCCGGCACACGGGTAGCGTTTTTTGGCACGTTTTTAGAACACTTTTTTCATCAAAATTTCCAAACTTGATTTATGATTTTCCAAAATTGAAATTTTAGAAATCACTAAATTATATTTTTGCAATTTTCTTATGAAAAATCATATAATTTGTGTGTTTAGGATTCACTCTCACACTTTAGAACATGTGTATGAATAATTTTGGTGAATGAAGGTAGCTTCAGCTTCTTAGAAATGCGGACTACTCTGTGGTGATATATCTTTAATTAATTAGTTAGAAATTAATTTGTCTTAATATATAAATAATGTTTTGTCTAATCCTTTAATATTTAGAGAGTAGATGTTTATATGTTTTAGGGAATATTGTTTCATCCATGTCATTAGATCACATGTCACGATTATTTTATTTTATGTATGTAGTCGTAATACCCCCCAAAATTTTTGTCAATACTATTTTCTATATTATAAAAAAATATTATTTCATTTTACTTTGGGTGTTTTAATTTTGGTATGTTAGTGGATGAATCTGTGAAAGGGATGAAATTGCAAAAATAAATTTTAGATGATTTTTGGCAACAATGACTGTTATGAATAACAAAACACTTTTAGGGGTCATGGTGTAATTTATCAGATTTTAATCCTATTTTAACACATTCTTGTCTCTAACCGAAAAAAAAAAAGAAAAAAAAAAACAGTTTCAACAAAAAAAAAGGGAGAACAACAATCGATGATGGCTGCCATCTAGAGATTTAAAAGTTGCATATCAAGTTTTTAATGTAAGATTAAACTTCATTTTTCTTAAAATTTTAGTATTTTATTAGTTTTCTTCAAAACCCAACCTTAGGCTTCAAACTTTTTAATTTTTCGATAACCTTCCGATGGTTTTCTAATGGCATATTTGGTATCTATGGGAAGGCCTCTTGAAGACCTTTTCAATGGATTTTGTAGCTCTTCATTCGATTATATATTTTAGAAGTTATGATTTTTTTAAAATTGAAAAAAAAAAATGGGTATTTGACGATTCTAACACCCTAACTTTAGGTCACCAAAACTTCACTTTTCGATAAGCCTTTTGGTCGACTCTTTAGGGATTTTTGTAGTATGAAATGCGATCTTGATTTTGTTATAAGTGGCTTCGTCATTAGGTTTTTGTGCTAAATGAATCAAAACTCTAAAAATAGCTAAATAGTTTTGAAACCCATAAATTTTAAGGATTTTTGTGACGATTTTAAAATTTTAGGCCTTTGAAACTTACGATTTTTGGTGTCTTTCTAAGTGAAACAAAATTTTAAGTTGTAGTATTCTATTCCTACTTCAAATTCGTGTCTTCCTTTATCATTAGAAATTATGGGACATTAAAGATTTCATGGCTCAAAGTAAGCCAAATACTTACAAAATGCAAAATTTCAGAATTGAGAAATTTTCATTGTAAATTATTTTAAAAATTAATTTCAGCCAATACTTGATGTATTTAGTTATAAATCACATAATTTTAATTATATTATTTTTAATGAATTTTTGCTTATTTTAATATATTTTTATTTTATTAATTTCATGTTATTTGTCTAATTATAAAATTACTAAGTTAGATTTAGACTTACCAAAATTATTACTATTAAATATTAAAATTAAATATTTATAAACTAAGTTTTGTGTTTTTAATTCTTAATTTTATATTTATACTCAATTTTAGGCATTATGCTATATTAAAAGAAAATTTGTTTTAATATACTAAACATATTTTTAAATAGTTTTGAATTGCCGAAAAGGTTGACACATAACCCAATTTGCTTAAAATGACCCGCGGAAGGTTTACCTTGTTAAATTTTTGTTTTTGGGTTAAATTTTGATTTTTTTGAATATTTCTTGAATTATTAGTATACTAAGAAAATTGAGTGAATTGTTACTTAAGTTTCAATTTAGCACATCAAGTAAGTGACTTAATATCTATTTAATTTTTATGTCCCTAAAATTCAACCTCAATATGTTTAGAGTTGAAATATATAATATATATTATTTTGTCCATTTGTTTTGTAAATTAGGTTAAGCATACAAAATTTATATATGATTTCTTTGTTATGAGTTTCAAATATGGTTTGGCATTATTTTGATTTTCGAATATCATTTTGTAATAATATATTTATATATCCATTAATTGTTAGAATATGAAATTTTACTTTGGAATAATTATGGAAATGACTTTGTATGGACTATGTTTTTGAGAAAGTATATGAATATCGATTTTGTCTATATTAGGCAATCTGAAAATATATTTTAGTTTTATCTCCTAGTATGATTGTGTTCTGACACTACCAATAGGACTTAATTTTTGGCCATGTCGACATATATTTTGTGATATCAATACCAATTTCGAACCGTGCCAACGATTGAGAATAGTGGCTTTTGTTCACCATACCACCAGTGATATGCTTTTGTCCCATTGCATTAAAAGAGTTTCTGTGATCTTTGTTCTGTCTCATTGCACTAATGGGTTAATTATGATTATCAATGCAACAATTTAGTTGCTTCTTAGATACTTTCATCCTATTGTACTAAAGGAAATTTTTTTATTCTAACATGTATCATAAGGGTTAAGTGTGGTCGTAGTATGTTATGGGAGACTAATAAATTTATAATTTTACAATATTTGATTCCGTTTTGTAACCTAAGAATTTGGTTTTGAGAATATGTTTTGTGAAAATATGTTTACAAATACAAGATTACCCAAAATATTTCAAATCATTTAGTTTATGTTTTGGCCTGAATGTTTTATGGCACGCTTACTCTAACTAAAGGGATGGTCGATTATTTGCTGAGTCGTTGTACTCATTGTTTTAATTTTTTTTATTTTTCAGATTTTAATATTTGCATTTTCGTGGCTTAGTTATGGTAAGAGATTATGTTTCAAGATTTCATTTATCCTTTGCTATCATATAGCTTGTAATATGAGTACCTTGTTATAATAAAGTTAGAACATTATTATACTTTTCGATCAAGTGTAATACGTACATTTCAGAGACTTTGTTTTATAAACTAAAATCATGAATATCTTTTGGAGTTTGATTTTGAATTGGTATGGTATTTTGGAGTTTTATTAGTGATATTTGTTGCCTTGCATACTTGTGGGATTCCTCTCATGAGAATGCGGTGTTGTTACATCTTAAATTTTTAGGTTTGGGGCATGACAAATTAGTGGTATCAGGCCAGGTTTGAGATTTTATGGATCTTGGAGTCTTTAGTGTAATTGATATTTGGACATCAGATCTGCAAATTATGGTTAGGATAAAGTTTGTTAAGGTAAAAAAAAAAATGGGTAAATGACATGGTTTTAAATGATTGGTTTTGGTATGAACTATGATAAAATAGTTATCTTAAGCTCAAATTAATTATGGAATGGTTTTGAGACAAAGTATGAAATATTAGAGATACCATGAAGTGATATGTTTTTAAATGAAGTGACTTTAATAGAATTATTATATAAATTGGATATTTTAAGCGTAAGACTTATTGTAGAGAATACTTTTAATCAGTTGGGGTATTATGATATTAAAATCAGATTTTGATCGATAGAGATTTTGGGGTTTGAGATGGATTTTTTATGAATCTTCAATCTTGGAATGAATTATACTTTATTAAGAATATCTTACTTATAGGGATTTTTGAATTTTTGTGATAGATCTTCAGTGAATCTTTGATTTTGGACATGAATTATACTTTATTGAAGGTAACGTATGAAATAT